AGATGATGGATTCTGAGGAGCAATGGGCAGATCCGCGCAGACAACCACACGAGGATGAGTAGAACGCGCCGGGGAGTGTGATGCCGAAGGGAGGGGTCGCGAGCAAACAGTAGGCTTACCTGCCATGATTTTGGTATTTTCTTTTGATCGCTGTACTTATCCGCGAGTACACAGCGTTTGCGCAGCGCGGCGCGGCACAGGATGTTGCGCGACGGGGCGGTTGATTGCCTTGGTGCCGGGGGCACGCAGCTTGCCGAGTCGCAGGCGAACAGTTGCTTCAGATCTACTGCTGTACAACAGAGGCGCGCTGCCTTGGGAGCATGGGTTTACGGGAATGGTTCAAGAAGAGGTTACTTCAGGACTAAAATCACGACCAGGACTGCACTGCCTCGTTCCCTCCAGAGCAGGAAAATGCAACCAGGAAAGGCTCTGTCCTCCAAGTGGGCTATCTTGGGTGCTGGGTCTAGTGGCCCCGGCTAGCTTGTGTGGAGGGGAGAGGTCGAAAAACACGAAATCTGCTACTCGCGCCTGTCTGTCAAGCACTCTTCTGTCGCACAACCTGGACGACAGACTTCACGGGATAGGAGCAGCCAGGACGTGCGCAAGAGTTTGTTGGTCGTTGCGTGGCTGGGCTGGGGCAGGGGAAAAAGTCGCGTTGGCGCGGGTGCGCGATGCGGTTACGGCCCACGTCAGGGTGTGGTGTGTCGCACGGGCGATGTCAGGCTGCGGCCAGCACGCGAACCTAGGCGCAATGCTGTAGAAGCGACGGAGCGACGGAGCGACGTGAAGGGGACAATCTATGTTAGATGGAAGGCTGGGGAACACGGACGAAGGACCTCGAGGATCGCCTCCTTTTGGCGTGGTGGCATTGGAGAAGTTCAGAGATTTGTGTGGAGGAGGCCAAAGACTGTTAAGAAAGTGGAGGCGAGGTTGGCAGAGCTCCCTTCCTTCCCTTGGTAGCAATTAATCGCTCCTTCCCATGGCGTTTGCTCAGTCAGGCGCCCGATACGGAAGTGGAAAGCAAGAGCCGTGTCCAGACCAGGGAGGTACCACCCAATGTATCCAAGGTGGCCGAGGTACCTCTACAACAGCTTGGGCTGATTACGAGAACAACGCTTCTGGAGAGATTATTATATTTCATCTACAATGCCACACTTCTCAACTTTGATTTCAAGGACAATAGACTTGTATCCTATTGGGCTCGCGTAGATGTATTGATCCAATACCTTGGAGGAACATTGTTCACCCGCATGCTGATGTAATGGTTCCAACGGGGTTGACGCCACTTCTAGCTGCCAAAAGCATCAGCCACATTCCAATCCCCCGCCACATCAAGCATTAGCCACAGCTGTTCCGCCGGCTAATCCCCGTGTAATTGGGCATTATGGCTTATGACGACCTGGAACCTAGAGCTGTGCAGCAGCTGGAAAGTACGCGGCGGCCGTGCCTGGAGCTGTATCACGACCTACCCGGATCTAAGAATTGAAGCCTCCCCTCCACCACACCGACGCTATCATCCACCCTTGTCCCACGACGCCGACTGCCTCAACATCAAGCAAGCTTCCGGGTCGTCGATAATTTCTTCAAGTCAATCGTCGGCAGAAATATCTCACAATGTCTCGCCGCTACGATTCCAGAGTGCGTCGATCCAACTGCCCGCCCAAGGGTGCACCTCCCACCATCTCCAAATTCAGAAGCTAATGATCATCAACAGACCACCATCTTCTCCCCCGAGGGTCGATTATACCAGGTCGAGTATGCTCTAGAGGCCATCTCCCACGCCGGAACTGCCATCGGAATCCTTGCCAAGGATGGCATCGTCCTCGCTGCTGAGCGCAAGGTCACATCGAAGCTGCTGGAGCAGGACACATCTGCAGAGAAGCTCTACATCTTGAACGAGTTAGTTCTTCACTTCACCGAAATTTCCCTATTTCGTAGCTAACAAAACCCAGCAACATGATCTGCGCCGTGGCCGGTATGACTGCCGATGCGAACATCCTGATCAACTACGCCCGACAGGCCGCTCAACGATACCTCCTCACATACAACGAAGACATACCCTGTGAACAGCTCGTCCGCCGACTCTGTGATCTTAAGCAGGGCTACACTCAGCACGGTGGTCTCCGACCATTCGGTGTGTCATTCATCTACGCTGGCTGGGACCCCAGGCGGCAATTCCAGCTCTACCTCAGCAACCCCTCCGGGAACTACGGTGGCTGGAAGGCAACCAGCACGGGTGCCAACAACGCGAGCGCACAGAGTCTTCTGAAGCAAGATTACAAGGAGGACTGCACGCTGGAGGAGGCATGCGGCATGGCGGTCAAGGTGCTGAGCAAGACCATGGACTCGACAAAGCTGAGCAGCGAGAAGAGTGCGTCTATCCCGAATTCTCAGACATTCGCTGTCTAACATTAATGGATTTACTTGCTAACATGTCGTCTTTTAGTCGAGTTTGCGACGATAGGCCAGACCGAGGATGGCAAGATCTACCACCGACTCTGGAGTGCGGAGGAGATCAACGAGCTGTTGAAGAAGAATGACTTGGCCAAGCCCGAGGATACTGAGGAGAAATAGACAGTGGCGCTCACTAGGAAATGACAACACGATCCGTCAAGGGTTTGGGAAAGTGAAATCGTCCTAATTAACATGGATGGCTCCATGTAAGAAATAACGACCAAATCAAAATGATCAAGACGATACAGCATGCATGATCTGTGAATTGATGTAATTTAAACCTCAAAGACGGAATGCTCATGCACTATCCAAAATGCTCGAAATGCTCAGCCCACCCAGCAACTGTACACCACAAGCAAATACGCCTGACACCCAGCCAAGTATATGTAGAAATACACGCCAATAGACGAGCATTCATCCCTAAGAATGGGATATGCAAAGAACGCAAATAAGGCAGTGCGCAAGCCGAGGAAACCAGAAGAACAACATATTCCAGATATTGAAGGACTGAATGAGAAGGAACTCATCGTGAGGGGAATCACAGTCCTTCGTGTTATCTTCGACAGGTAGATTTCTCAGCCATTTGAGCTATGTGCCTGTCGAACATAACACCAAGGACTATGATTCCCCTCAGGATGAGTTCCTTCTTACCTATTCCTCTAATATCTGGAATTTGCTGTTTCTTCCGGTTTCCTCAGAAATCAGAATCCACTGCCGCCCAACGCAACTTTTTGTCAAACCTACACCTAAATTCAAGTAAAGCAAAAGGGAGAAAAGGTCAGCCTCGGTTCTCCCGCAAAGTGTCCATCTCGTAGCCTACATCAACAGCACCCTCCTCTTCATCCCGGACGCGCTGCCAGCCCGCCGCAGCAGCGAGGTCGCCCTGCTGCTCTCTGCCGCGGGCGGCGATGGTCCCGCGGGGGTAGGGCTCGTCGCAGCGGTGGCTGGAGAGCCGGGGCCAGTGTCTCCGGTAGCTCCAGTAGGCGACGGTCATGCCGATGGCGGAGCCGACGCAGACGTCGTAGACGTCGTGGCGGTAGTCCTCGCAGCGGGAGATGGCGATGAGGGCGGCGCCCACGAGCGGGGTGAAGCACACGAGGGCGCGGCCGAGGTCGCGGGTGCCCAGGCGGAAGGCGCCGAGCTGGCCGGAGAGGAAGAGGGCGAGGAAGCCCAGGCCGGCGAAGGAGAAGGAGGAGTGGCCGGAGGGGAAGGATCGCCAGCCGTCCTGGAGGACGCGGCTGTCCGGGGCGGTGCAGGCGGTGATGTCGACTGGTTTGGTGGTTGTGGCGGAGGCGGAGGGAACGCAGCGGGAGAGAAGGTCTGGGCGAGGCCGACCGACGGCGTTCTTGAGGATGTCGGTCAGGAGCTGCGAGAGGGCGATGGAGATGAAGAAGGCAAGGTAGGTGGCCTCGTGCTTGGCGGCCGACGAGCGCGCGAAGAAGTTTACCAGTAGCAGGACGCTCAACGGCACAAACAGGGCGTAGATGATGTTCCAGGCTGTTAAGGATATCCCATATCTGTGAGTAAACTATGGTGATCATAGGCAACGTTGCTGCCCAACTGTGAATTCGACACAAGAAAAGACTCACGGACAGAGACACGCTCAACCTCTGCGAATGGGAACGATATCCTCACATCGTTGACAAAGAACAACGCATGGAACGGCTTGACGAAGGCGACAATCTTGGTGATAGTGTGAGCTCAGCAGTCCCTCCCATCTACTCTGGCTATATGCTCAAAGGTTGACATACCAGACCCCAACACACGGCTGCGAAGGCAAGCCCCACGTAATCGGGTAAATTTGTTGTCTAATAAGCCAGTCAGTCATCTGAACAACGGGTTTTGGTTGCGCGCCGTGTGAAAATTGGCATCCGCTACAATACCTTCCATGCTCTACCCAGAGCTGAGTTCTGGCAACATGTCGATCGCCCGCCGCTTGAGTGAGACGTCATGATAATCACGCCGGCAAGGCGCTGATATCATATGCTACAGAGTATTCAATTTCGAGAATTTTCACTGTACACTGAGCGCCAGGCGGTGTTTAGGGAAACGAAAAGCAGAAGTGTAGCAACGAATGAAGTGCAAATGGTAACTGAGAGTAAGACCAGATTTATAGGGGCCACTTGTTGAAACTATTGGGATTGAGGATGAGGCCCGGTGGGTCAAATGAAAGCTGATGAATTTACAACCAAGTCCAACTAACTTCCACCTGAGGACATTTTCTCACTAGAATGACATTCTATTAATTGGAAAAATTTATACAAAAGTAAAGCTCTTGATATAGTCAACCAGGATTTAGATGTCTCATGCTCTTGCTGCCGCTCATCCAGGGTTTCATTACCTGAGGCTGAGTGTAGGGTAGGTGATCATCTGGTGGACACGACCTGCGCAGTGACGTGCCCCTCCAATTGAAAAAGGTTATCTTCTGTTGTTCAGCTGCCAGGCACAAAAAGTTCCAGCTGGCCCAAGGCTTTCTCCAACCAAGCACCATCCATCTGGTCGCCACCAAGCTTGCAAGACCATTGGAATTGAACAAGCTCGACACGATGGAAAAATCACGGTCTGGCCCCAGCGGCCTCAGGTCGACGTACCAACCATCGGCCCAGGCGCTGGCGCCTCTTGCTCCTGGCTGGTCTGAACATAAAGCGCCGACCGGCCACACATACTACTACAACGCAGAGACTAAAGTATCGACATACACCCGCCCCGGCGCGCCGCAGGTCGCTGCCCCCCAGACGACGCCGAACGCACCCTATGGAAGCATTCCAAATCTCTCCGACCCGAAAGTCGCCAACGCATACCTGGCACAGCTCAACCCGTCGCAAAGAGGAGGATCATATGGCGGTCGGGGTGGAGGTCGCGGAGGAGGTAGAGGTGGTCATGAAGGACGGCCCAAGCCACAGCCCACCGACAAGCCACGGAGGAAAGAGGCGATTCCTGGCTGTGAGCCGTGGATCCTCGTCTATACCAAGTACTCGAGGCGATTCGTGTACAACCCGGTGAAGAATGCGAGTTATTGGCGTATACCCGAGAAGCTGATGCCTGGCATTCTGGAGCTCGACAAAGCTAGGATACGCGGCAAGGCTGAGGGAACCCAGGCCAAGGAGGAGTCTGCGGAGACTGAAAAGGCTGGGGAGGCTGCTGACACTGCGCCTCAACAGCAAGAGGGAGCCGAGGATAGCTCCGAGTACGAGGAAGTCGAAGTTACGGATGACGAGGGAGGTGAAGAAGAGGCGGATGGGGAGCACCCGACCAAGCGACAGCGAACAGAGGAACCGGGGGATGAAGAGCCGGTGGAATTCACCGAGGCGGATATCATGGCACAGCTACAAGCCATGGGCGAAGACTACGGCCTGGAGCCTGGGGACTACGATGACGGAAACATGGAGGACTGGCCCGAAGGCGCAGAGGGCTTGGACTTTTCCGAAGAGGATGCCAAGCTTCTGTTTAGAGATTTGCTGGATGATTTCAACATCAACCCATTTAGCCCCTGGGAAAAATTGATGGAGGAAGGGAAAATCATCGAGGATCCTCGGTATACGGCCCTCAATACCACCAAGGCGCGAAGGGAATGCTGGGACGAGTGGTCGCGTGAGAAGATCAACCGGCAAAAGGAGCTGCGGGCGCGCCAGGAGAAGAAGGACCCTCGTGTCGCATACATGGCCTTCCTCCAAGAAAAGGCCACACCGAAGCTTTACTGGCCTGAATTCAAACGGAAATACAAAAAAGAGGCCCCCATGAAGGATATGAACCTTTCCGACAAGGACCGGGAGAAGGCATACCGAGATCACATTAACCGGCTGAAGCAACCTCAGGCGACCCGGAAAGCGGACTTGAGTGCCCTTCTCAAAGCCCAGCCCATCCACGTGCTCAACAATAAGTCCTTCCCAGTCCTACCAACGCAAATCTTGGTTGATGCACGGTATGCTGCCTTGGAACCGGCGGTGCGGGACCCGCTTATTGAAGCATATGTCCAGACCCTTGGTCCACCTCCAGATGAGGATGCGGACGATGCGCAGGCGGCGTTGGAGGCTAAAGAGAAACGAGAAAGACGGGAGAAGGCGTTACGAGACCGAGATAGGGCTGCGGATGACGCAAGGCGGCAGAGGGAGAGAGACGTGGCGAGGGCCAAGGCAAATCTGCGAGAAGAAGAGCGAGAGGTTGAGATGGCAATGCGGGTTGGTAGAGATGGGTTGAAGAGCCAGCTCGTTGACAAGTCGGACGCATGACCGCCTTGATTCCCCAAAACAAGAATGTAATCTTTTCAGTGTATATAGCGAAGCGCCATGTCTATGCTACCCTTAAACTCCTTCCAAGCAACAGAATACCACCTGCACTACTATTTACTTAGACCCATCTCTTTCCTTGACAAAGTCCGATTCGAAATCGAGCCCAGCCTGTCTTCTCAACACGCCATACAGGGAGGACGAATCCAGCGGCCTCTCCTTCCGACTGGCCTCCTGAAGATGCTTGAGCGCCAGCTCCCCAACATGCAACCTCGCACCGGCGTCCTCGGCGCAGCGCACGCCGTGTGCCACGTCCTTGAGCGCAAGACGCAGGTCGGACCACGGCCGCTCGCCGGCAGCGGGGATGTAGGCGCCGCTGGTCAGGCGGCGCGACATGTTGTGCGCGAGGGGCCCGTACTGGAACTCGAAGAGGGCGGACATAGCGTCGTCGCCGAGGCCGGTCTTCTCGGCGAAGACGTGCGCTTCGGCGACGACCTCCATCATTGCGGCTGTGACGAAGTTGCTGGGAGGAGTTAGTTTGCATCTGCATGGTTTGTGGGAAAGAGATTCTCACCCTGCGGTTTTGAGGAGGCTGGATTGTCTGACGTCTTCGCCCATCTGGATGATCTTCCTGCCCATTATGTCGAGGATGTAGGGGGAGACAGCCTCGATGGCGATCTTGGGACCGGCCATGATCCAGAGGAGCTTGCCCTCAGCGGCAACAGGGCTCGCTCCGAATACGGGGGCGGCGACGAAGAGGGCGCCTTTGGCTGCGAGGCGGTCCCTGGCCTTGACGGATGAGTCTGGGTGCACTGTGGATGTGTCGACGATGACCTTGGCGTGGAGATGCTCTGCTGCGCCTTCGGCGAGGAGACTGTCCAGGGTCTGGGAGAGGGCGGCATCATCGCTGAGCGAGATGAAGATAATGTCCGTGTTGGCGACCAGATCACGGATGGTTTCTGATGGGGAGGCACCGAGGACTTGGAGGGGCTCCCCGCGGGACATGGTGCGGTTGTGATATGTGAGCTGTGGGATGTCGGCGCTCTTGGATAGGTGCTTCTGGAGGTTTGAGGCCATACCCAGGCCCATGGATCCCAGACCTAGACATTGAAATAGCGGTTAGATGAGAAATGTGTTGATTTCAAGACTGAAGGATGTCTTCTCTCATACCAATCCATCCTATGCGAGGGCTCGTTGAAGACGCCATGTTGAGATTTGTAATGTGTTCAGTTGTGAGTTCTGCTAGTACAGTTTCCTTATGAAATTGATTCCGTTGACCACCTGCCGGTCTTATATATGCCTATGGAGTGTGATGACTCAATCTCTCATCCAGTATCTCACCTATGATGTGGAGTTGACGTGACAAATGATTCCCATCGGCAATCTACCGAGCATCATCATGACTCGGCTACGTACCGAAGACTCACCTTGATCAACCATTCCCAGCCAATTGGTAATATTCAATTATATCCAAGCTCTACGAACCTCATAAGTCATTACCCATATCTATCACCTTCCTCTTTTCGCAAATATACACGGCCCCCTCGTCCCACTACCTCACCTCCCTAGGCACCTCCCACAGATCACCAAACAGCCGATCCGCCAGCTCAGCAACCTTCCCATCCTCCTCCCTCCCCAATCTGACACTCTCCAGCTCTCTCGCCACCAGCTTCTCGAACCCCTCCTCCAGAACCTTACCCTGCCCCTCCACCAGCGTCCGAACAACCTCAAGCGCAGGCACCACCCTCCCAAGCACCTCCCCCTTGACCGCCGCATCGCTGTTATTCCACACGTGCCACCCAGCCAGCCTCACCAGCCGCCACCACTCCTCCCTCCCCTCCGCCAGCCTCTCCCCCGCCGCCTGCGCAAACGCACCCCACGCCGCATCGACGCTGCCGTTAGTATCGTCATCCTCCCGGAGAACGAACTGCGACAGCGCCCCGACCCGGCCCAGCGGCCCCTCAGGCCAGACGCGCCGCAGACTCTCGACAAGCCCCGCCGCGAGCTCAGGGACGGGGACCCTGTCCGCCGGAAACCACTTGTAGCTCTCGTGCTCGAACCCGAGGCGGATGGACGACTCCGCACCCGGGGTTAGGCTGAACGCGAACGGGTGGACGGACCACTCGTAGTTTGCTCTGCGGTCGACGAAGGAGTAGGGTACCCCGCGGCAGAGGAAGCGCAGGTCCGAGTCGGCGTCGAGGGTCGTCTCCTCTCTGAGCTCGCGCTTGGCGGCGGCGAGGGGGGATGGGTCGGATGGTTCGATGCCGCCGGAGATGGTGGCATATTTGTGTCTGTTGGTCAATCGCTGGATATGAGAGGGAGGGGAGAAGATTGGGTATGGAGGCTTAGGTACTGGTAGGTGTTGACTTTGTTGGTGCGGCGGAAGAGGGCTATCTCTGGGACGCCATCTGGATCTCGTCTGAGGAGGAAGCTGCCCACGACGGCGCGCCTCTGCAGATCCTGGGCGCGGCGGGCGGCTGATGCGAAGGAGCGGAGGTGGGCTTTGTGAGCTGACGTAGCTCGAGCTGCGACACGGCGAATTGGCCCTTGGAACGCCATGTCTCGTGTTTTGGTGTGCCGGATTGGTGCTTTGGAGGTGGTGGTGCGCCTCGACGGAAATTGACAAGGTATGGGCTTAATGAGGTCACACCCCCGATACTAACTACAGCTAGTGGGCATCCTGTCAAGCCTGTTCAATTGAGTTTCCATCCCCGCGGTGGGGTAGATGCTTCGTCAGTTCAATCCTTGCCCTGAGGTTGGGATATTCTGCGACGATATATGTAAGTGTACGACACTACTTCACTTCCCCCTGCACAATGATTGATGGACAGTGGCATGGATAAGATCATGATCAATAGCTCTGTGTCATTATTATGGTAATAATTATACATATGCGTAGTCCTCTATTAGCCAAACCTGATGCTCAACACCAATCATTACCACCCGGTGACCACCCAGTGACCACCTCAAAGGTCCATGTTATACGCCGCCCAATCCTTCTCCATCCAACTCACCACCTCGTCGAATAGCGCCGCATCCCCGCTACTCTCCGGCACCGGCCCGCCCTCCGAGGCGCTCGACGACAGTGTCTGCCACGCGGGGCTCTGCCCCATCTCCTCAAACACCTGGTCCACGTCCATGGGCGTGGCCGACCGGTTCTGCACCCGCGCCGCCAGGGACTGCAGCTCCTGGAGGACGCGCGAGCACGCCATGCCGTACATGTTGCCCGTCTGGGCCTCGCGGTCGAACAGCTCGATGGCGAACTTGACCTCGCGGGCGGCGGCGGAGGAGCCATCATCCACATTACCCGTCAGGGAGTGCAGGAAGAAGCAGAGGACGGCGTTGAAGATGAAGTGCAGCCCCGTGTGGAGCAGGCGCCGCGGGCGGTGGAGGGTGGCGACGTGCCGACCCAGGCGCATGTTCCGCTCGGCGGCAGCCAGGCAGTCCTGGGCGTACGAGGGCGGGATGCTGGAGTGGGCGGAGGAGGAGGAGGGGGACTGGGGGAGGAGGCTGTTCTTCACCATGGAGAGGAGGGCCGGCCGGAGGGCCAGGATGTTGAGCTGGTTGTGATGCATGTGCAGCATGCAGGTGGCCGCGTCATTGCTGAGACCCTCCTGGGAGAGTCTGAGGGACTGGGGTAGGCTGTGCAGCCACTGGTCCAGCATGGAGAGGGCGGTATCCGTGGACAGCACAGAGTCGTCCCCGGATTGCCGCCAGGGCGACGGGTGATACAGCTGGCTGCTCACAATCTGCCCGGATATACGTGATAGACTGATATGGGCCTTGAGGCCGGCCGCGGGAGGGAGTGACCTGTGGCGTTTTTGGGAGCGATGTTAGCAAGAGTGGGGTAAGATAGGGGGACCGGCCGCGCAAGCAGTGGGAGGGCAAGGTTTTTTTCGGGCAAATAGAGAGAGAGATACGTACGGTGCATCAGCAGGGAGAGGTAACTGTATAGCCTCATCCAAAATGGTCGGGGGCCGACCCAGGAGGTAGCTAAGCCACCGGTCTAGTACATATAGAGTCCAGAAGATCCGTTTCCCCCTCTCCTCCACGAATCCCTGCGTGACACCCAGGGCTGCGCTTAGACGCACTGCAACACTTATATATACGCTTGCTGCTTCTTTCCTGTCCGACTCGAGGAGGAAGAAGGCCATCAGGGTGAGGACGGAGACTTCCCCGACAGACGGCCGGGACACATCGAGCGGGTTCCCCAGCAGGGCCGTGGCCCGCGCGAAGAACTGCTCGCTCCGATCTGGAATCTGGCCGACCGCGGGGGTCCCCGTCGAGACAATACGGCAGGCCAGTCCCAGAGCGGTTTGATAAAAGGCAAGGCGGCGCGCATTGCGGATATCTGCCTCGACGTGGCCGATGGACGGCGTCGCGGACGGCACGGACCGGAGATCGCCCCACCAGTAGATACCGCCGGTGGGGGATGGCCGGTCATCGCTGCCGTCCTGGATAAAGGATCTCAGCACGCTCAACATTGTTCGCGTGGTGTTGGGAGGGGGCAGCCAGCGGGGGTCAACATTCACGATGGACGGCAGAGGCCGCGAGTCTGACGTCTCGCATCTTCCTACAGAGGAGGGGAGTGTGGACAAGTCACTGGTGGGGAGGAGACCTCTTAGAAAGGTGTTTAGGCTGTCGACAAAGGCCTTCTCGCCCGTCTCGCCATGGAAGCGGGCGGTGCCAAGGTTGTCGTGCAGGAGCCGGCCCTCAATCTCGGAGAAGGGGCCGGCGCCGTCGTCGGTGGGTGTCATGGCGTCGGACTTGGACGGGCTGGTGCTGGGGAAGCGCTGGTGCGATGCGGAGGCCGAGGATGTCTCCGAAGGTGTGCTGAAGCTGCCCTGGCGGGCAACCAACTCCTTGCGCTTGTCATCATCGGGCATGACATCTTGCAGAGCCCTCTCGTAGGCCTCCACCCGGCGCTTCAGGTCGTCGAGTTCTGTGCGGGAGATGAAGACCTTGGCGGAGGGGCCTGGGTAGACGCATTCTCGGGACGAGGCGGCGCATTGACTGCATGGAGTCTCGCCAGAACATCTTGTGCGTCGGAGATTGCAGCTATTGCATCTTGGGGGGCATCAGTATGGATCATGATGACACTCTGGTCTGGTTAGGGAGGGACATACGCTTGAGCGACACGTTTGCGCTGAGCTGGAGGGACCTTGTGACGGCGAGGGTTGACTGGGAGGCGCTGCTGCTGCTGCTGCTTCTCCTGTTGTTGTTCATCTTCCTTGCCTCGGGGCATCTTGATGATTGACATGATGATCAAGGATATATCTGATCTTGAGGGGGCGGACCAGCAGACTATAATAAGGGAATTGGCTGGCGTATAGACAACTCTGACACTATCTCATCACAGATCTGTGCCTTCTCTCTTGCAAGCCTCCGGGGGGCACAGGCTCTGCTGAGGTCGGCCATGACGTTCTGATAAGAAATTCCAGGCACCGTCATTGAGCGGCTGACGGTTGCGCTGCGGTGCTGGCAGACAAGGGGTGCGGCAACATGACGACGCCTGCGAGCAATAATTTGGGATGGGCACGTTCCATTTGTCAACCTGGACGCGGGAGGATCGTGAGCCGACTGCCACGAGCGGAATGTGGGTGACCTAGCGGAGGGCCCTTTTGACGGTCGGGAGCACGCCTGGACCGGGGGGTGGTGGTGATGGTCTGGCCTGCTGGAGCGGTCTGCGATCGTCTGCGCCCTCGATCGGGCTTAGCCATGGGCCAACCCCCCCGTCGCGGCCGCGTACGCGTCAACGTAGGCCACTGCCTGAGAACAAAATGCCCCGGCCTCCATGTTTTCTGTCTGGCTTGTGGGATGTGATGGAGGGGCACATGCGCGCAGAAGCTCCCGATCAAGTGGCCCAGCGATGTGGTTTAGGTGGCCGGAGCTCTGAAGCTGTCCACTGGTAGCTGTCCAGCGCCCCTCCCCCACTACCCTCAGCCCTTTACACACAGCATTCTCCTCGCTCTAGCTCCCTCCAACTACTGGCGACTGTTGGCCCCTCATCCCGGTCTCAGCCTTACAAAGCACGAGAGCATCGGCTCAATCGGTTGATCGGTTCCCCTTCCCTCCCTGCCCACGCCTTACTTACGTGTCGCCGTGCCTTTTTGCGCGCCGTCACTATTAATATTAGCCAGCGCTCACCCAACTCCTGTCTTGGCGCCGTCTCATTCTCCTGCAAGGACTCATCGGCTTTGCGTGTCCCAGTGTGCCAACCCACGCCCGCCAAGCCCTCGTCTGCTTCACCTAACGACACCGCCGCGCGTCCTCAGCAGGTTCGCCGTCTTGGCTCTCTCCTCGGCAGCCCGAAGCCGGGTTCCCGCGAAACCTTCGTATTTTCCCTCGCAGCCTGGGCAAGGCACCGACGATTCGGACGTAGGCAGCGAAATTCTGTCCCTCGGCCCATTCCCATTTTTAACCTTACTGCCCTCGGGCTTTGTTTTACAGTTAGGTAAGTAGTACTGGCTGGTGGTAATTTCGACGCCTAGAGTGGATGCGCCCACATTCCTGGTGAGCTTCAACGCTTCAATTCGTGCCTGGCAGGGCTCGATTGTGGCTGCGCAACAGCCCATGTGTTTCAGGCAAAAGGTCCCGATCGGAAGCGTCCAATAAATTTAAAAATAAGAATAAAATAAAAAAGTAATAATAGCTATAGCTAGGTAATACTAGGTCTTCTTTCTACTACTGAGGGGTTAATGCAAAATGATGATGTGATGTTTTTTCGCTTCGGTCGGTTAGGTTTTTAGTTCCCATCACGCATGAATATCGTCGACCCTTCTCGGTTTGGTCTGTGAGTATACTTTTTTCTTTCCATCCGTTCCCCCTCTCTTCACGCCGGTCTAGGTTACGCTCCTCTCCCTCCCCTCTCTCCATCTTTTACCGCTCTACTGCTTGCCGAAGATATGCTCAACCATCTCGCCGGATCTGGTGGCGAGCACGGATAGCAGAGTGTCGGAGAGCTGCACTAATCGTTAGCCTTCGTACTATAAAACACATCAAACCCGCAGCGGCAGAAAACTTACACCGTGTGTCCCCTCGCAGCAGCCCTGCAGCCAGATACCAGAGCCCTCGGCGATGGCCCCCGGCGCGAACTGCACCTTGTAGTCGCGCCCGACGGAGATGTTGCGCTCCCCCTGCTCCGTCTCGACGTTCCACCCCTGGATGCCCTTCTTGAACTCCTGGATCTTGGAGGGCCGGGCCCGGGGCAGCAGGTCGTACGCGCCCTTGAGCATCTCGACGTGCGACATGCGCTGGTACCCCGTGGCGGCGATGACGAGGTCGGCGTGGAAGACCTCCTCCTCGGCCGACGAGCCCTCGGCCAGCACGTCGGCGAGGCGCTGCACCTTGAGCTCGATGCCGCCGTCGGCGCGCGTCTCCATGCTCGAGATCTGCCGGCCGCCGAGGACGCGGTGCGGCCACCGCTGCTCGTTGGGGCCGAGCTCGCGCTTCTGGGAGTACATCTTCTCGTACAGGTGCTCGATCAGCTCGAGGCGGACGACGCCGTAGTTGGTCGCGCGGGCGTCGTAGAGGAACTCGTTTCGGTGCTTGGCGGCTCT